GGAAACAGGTGGGGGAGTGGAAACAGGTGGGGGAGTGGAAACAGGTGGGAAGTCTGATCTGAAGGAAACTTCTCGTCACATCAAAGAAAACCTCAAACATGAAGAAACATGACTCAGCTGTTTTCTTGTCTCCATGGTAACCTTTATCACCTGTAGCTGCTTGGTGCTAACCTGATGGAACCTGTCTGACCACACCCACCAGTGATGTCACAGGCTCCACCTGTAAACAACCTTGGCTTTCATTAGTGCTGTTGTCTCACTCTGTCAGAGCTCGAGGTTCGATGGGAGCCAGAGAGTCGTAGATCTTGATGAAGTCTCGCTGACAGTCGTCCTCCAGGTCCAACGTGTGGAAGTCGAGCCGGATCAGGTGTCCCGGGTCGGCCCGGAGCCTCCACTTCTGGTACATGTTGGGAGGATACGGAGTATTAGGAAAGCCTGGAGAAGTGATCTCTCCCTTCTCCTGGACGTGGATGTCGATCGGCTCCCTCTCTGCAAATAAGGTTCTGGTTTCAGTGGACCGGTACCACTCTGGGTTCTGATGCAGATCAGAGTCAGATCTATTTAATGACTTCAGTGTTTGCATCAGAACTCACCGGATACTGAAGTTCTGCTCAATCGTGAATCCAGAGCTAAAAGAACAGAAACCAAGATTTTCTGATTTTAGTTCAAATGTTTCGAGAATTCGATCAGGTCAACGTTTGTTCTGGTCTGAAGTCCTCCAGAACAAACTGTGGACCACAACACACCAAGCTGAGGGTCTTCAGGTGGTCTCCAGAAATTTGATGAGTTTTAAATTTTACCAAGTTATTTGGTTATTTGGAAAATAAATAAATAAATAAAGCTCCTCTCAGTGCTCGGACAGCCATGTCCTCCGGTCAGAAACAGCCAGTAAGACCAGAGGGTTGTCTTACTGGTGCCAGTCAGCTTTCATCTTTATCAACTAAAGACAGATTTAGAAATAAAATCTACTGGAGATGAAGAGAAAAGTGATTTATTATCAGAACTTGTTCAAGCTTTTTTCATGTAAAGATGAACTAAATGTTGACCAACTAAGAAATGATGACTCGGTGGAACCTGTTACACACTAAACCCCGTAAAGAACCTGACGGGTTTTATTACGACATGAAATCCTGGAACTGGAAGACTTGGTCTATAACAGGACAAACCTCCAGACGTGACACCCTTAACATTCAGAGCGTCGACCGGTTTCAGCATCAGCCGCCCATGCCGACCCGTCGGAGATTCTGCTGGTTCCTCCAGAGAATGAATGGCTTCCTCCAGAGAGTTCTGCTGGGGGGCGGGAAGCTCAAACTCTGACTGGTAGTACGCCACGACACCACCACTGGTGTCTCCTTCACTGCAGGACCACAGACACACAGGAACCATCATCGGATCAGAACAAAGCAGAAGGTGTGGGTTCTTCACCGGAGAGGGGAGACCCTGTACCTGAAGGCCTGGACACTGGAGGTCTTGAAGTATTTTGCTAACACAGAGTTTTTAGAATAAATCAGCTTCAGCTGAAAGACAAAAAGAGTAAAATCCAGACTCCATTACTCCAGGGCTCAAACAGAACCAGTTCCTGACTGAAAACGTAATGTTATGCATATAACTACTGTTCCCTGAAGGAAAGGAACGAGGTACAACATCATGTATGGGAAACC